ACATAACACGAGGTAAACATGGTTTTGACTAAGAGAAATTAGTTACAATTTACAGCTGATATACCTACGTCTCACAGGCCTCCTTTGATTTCAGTTAAATGATTGTAGTAAAGTTTAGTACAAAAAAACTATGTAATAAAAGCTTTGCTTCAACTAGAAAATTTAAAATTTCTTAATAAAAATAGTCATGAATGTACAGTGCCCAGTATAAAGAACTGGATAAGTACCATAAAAAGTTTAATAAAATTGTGGCACTTTTCGTCCAAGAAAAACAAAAATTATGAGACTCCGATATATATATATATAGTATATATTCCGATGCAATTAAATTTTTTTCGGTCATATAAGATCATATAATTTTAGGGACAATAACCCTTCTTGCCACAATTTCATAAATGCTTTAAATCTTTATTAATTACAGGATTCATTGAATTTTAACACTCCTCGTTTTAATAGTGGAGATGATGTTAGTGCACAAATATTAAAAATAAAGAGCCCGTTTAAAGAACATGAAAAGGAAGTGAGTAACGAAAGGGGTGAATCTGGTGATATATAAATAAAATTATATGGTAAATAAAATTAAAGTGTCTGTTTGTAATGTCAAAATAACAGCTTTTTACTAAATGCATATTAAAGTATATACGGTACTAATAACAAAAATACAATTTTTAAAGTTTTTGTCTGTCTGTCTGTCTGTCTGTCTGTCCGTCTGTCTGTCTGTCTGTCTGTCTGTCTGTCTGTTTGTGAAGTGTCTGTTTGTAATGTCAAAATTACAGCTTTTTACTAAATGCATATGAATATACATATTTTACTTATAACATTTTTTAAATTTTTGTTTGTCTGTCGGTCTGTCTGTCTGTTTGTTCCGGCTAATCTCCGAAAAGGCTGAACCTATTTCGACGGGACTTTCACTGGTAGATAGCTGATATTGTAAGGAGTAACTTAGGCTACTTATATTTGGGAAAAAGAATTAGGGTTCTGAGCAATATAATTAAAACCCTAAATCACACGCGGGCGAAGTCGCGGGGCACAGCTAGTAGATAATAAAATTAGGTATAAATAACTGGTGCACTATTATCAATAAAATTTTAAAAGGTATTGTTCGCTTAGAAAGAAAGCAGCTGCCAGAAAATCAAGGTAAAGTTCTCTTAAAATATAAGAAAAAGCTGAAAAATAAAGTCAATAAATAGATTTCATTACTGTTTCATTTGTATTTACCTCGTTTTATTTTCAATATAATAAAATAAATTTTGCAAGTAATTAATAAAATATACTTATTTGGCACGTCCTTTACCTCATGTAGCTGCTTCAAATTAAAAAAAAGAAATGTCAAATATAATTTTGCTACAACCAATCAGGATGCAGAAACTAAGTCGAGTGAGTTTACTTCATGAGATGTCCGTCTGATTAGCTAGAATCTTCTATAGTTAGTCTGTGGTATGAATGCTCCCCACTCAGACCTTAGGCTTACATTTGCTTACTTACTAATTTCAGCGATAGTAACCATTGATTTATAATATTAACTGTTTCTTTTACTAAACTCGATTAACTTGGATACTTAATTATATTTTATTACATACATAAAAAAATATTAAAAAAAATATATGAAAAAACGCGTCAGTGAAAAATCCTACTAGCATGAAACGGCAAAACGGGACGACTGTGCATCGTGGGAGTAAGAAGAGTGAAGAATATCAAAGGAACTGGAAGAAGAAGAAAGAATGGATCTGCTAGGCAAGAAAAAAAATTATACACAAAAGTATAGAAAAGCATGAATTCAAAATCTGGCTTAAACCTTTACCTGGTGACGAATTGAATGCTTTTTGCTTACTTTGTAAATCAGAATTATTAGCAAAATTAGCAGACTTAAAAAAAACAAGCAGGAACGAAATAGCATAAGCAAAAATTACAGTACAGCTGAAGGAATGCTAGCTCTTTATATCACAGAACACAGTTCAGTTTTGAACATTGATCATTTAACTGGGGTAGTTAAATGTGCTTTCTCAGATTCTCAAGCCACAGATGACTTAAAAATGCATCGTACCAAATGTACAGAAGTTATTAAAAATGTCTTAGCTCCACATTTTATCGAAGAACTAGTCAAGGATATAGGACAGCAGAGATTCAGTCTCATCATTGACTAATCATCTGACATTCGGCAATAACCTCTTTTTTAATTTCATACATGTAATACATAAAAAGTACTTAATTTTAATTAAAAAAATTAGCGAGAACTGTTGGGTTTTTTTTTCAATCCAAATTTCCAAAATATGGCGACATTTTACTCTCGATCTAGTGAAAAGAAAATTTTTGAGGTGGCAACTCTGCGACCGAGGCAGTATTGAATTGGCGATACAAGAGAATACTTCGAAGCGAAACAACTGCGAACTTAAGTGATCAGTAGAATTATTGTGTTTTATTATTAGTGTGTTTTAAGGTGTGATTAGTATCCGTAATTAAAGTGTCAATTTTGGTAATTCAATCGGCAGTTTTTAATTGTCTCGAACCTCAAGCTCGTAACAGTATAATAGCAGGCTTTAACATAATTAAATCAACCAAGAATTAATTAGACGATTTGAGCATTAAAAGCTTAATAAAATGAAATAAAAAGATGAAAATGTAATAATGTATGTATGTATACTAAAATGTTAATATAAAATGATGTTTTAAATATATTATTTTATTTCACAACCTTTTTTTATATATTCTGTTTTACAACACAACCTGGCAACTTGTTAATAAAATAAAAAAGAAGAGTTTTGGCGGGAACTTTACCAGCGGCGGTTTGCTGCTCCTGTATTATAGTTTAAATAATAGTTTGAAGTGGATTTTGATATGTAAAATTGGTGCGATTTTATGTATTAACTGTCTACGCATGTGAACTATTAGTGGAAACGGTGAAACAAGCGCTCTGATGGTGATGTGATTCTCAAGATAAGCTGTTTGTCTGCATAGGCGCCTTGAGATACCACCGCCAACTGTCAGCTGTCTACTGGCCCAAGTTGCCGTCATAATCTCCCAAGGGCTGCACAATGTGACGCATCAACATGTTGTGAAGTAGTGAACTATGAAGGATACATTTGGGGTAATTATAATAAACCGAATAAAAATACTCAAGACTTGGCCTAAAGGCCAATACCAGGCCATAAACTCCAAAAAAAAAATAACCCTGAAAGCGTATTGTTTGTGTTTTTTTTAGATAAAATTTGTTATCTTCTGTTATCTTATATTTCATTGTATATCGCTGGTATTTTTACGGATAAAAAGTTTGCTAATTTATATTTTTAATAATTTCCTATTTATCTTTTGAAACAAGAAAATTTTATATTTTACTAAATATAGATATTAAAATCTGTTTTGTGTTTATATTGTACATTTTTACACCCAAAATCTTTATATAAATATGTTTATTTGCAAATGATGCCAAAAAGTGAATGTGATGAAACTCAACAAAATAAAAGACGTGGCAATTGACGAAGTGAGGTTAAAAAAGAAAACAAAATACAAATAAAGCGTTTATTTACTAAACTAAACAATAATCAAAAATATAAAGAAATAATTTACAACAGAAGTTAAACTTTACATAATATAAAAATCACAACAATGGATATATTCTTTAATTTGTATACTTATATCGTATAACTTATTGACTACGTTGGAGTCATGCAACAAATATGTTTGCACGTACACATCGAGCTACAGGGGGCTATATTTCTCATTATTTACAAGTATAAAATTTTTAACGGAAATAACAACTTAATATTTTAGTAGGGCAAGACAGTTAAGTTCATATTTTAATGTTAAATATATTTTTATAAATGTATATTTCTAACATAATCACTGAAGTGCAATTAATATCAACCATTGAATTCATAAGTTAGATACATTTTTGTGCTTTTGAATGAAATATAACTTAAATTTATAAATAGTTCACAATTATTAGCATTTAGTGAATCTAAGGTTGTAACCATTGAGTTCTATGTACTACGTACTAGAGAAGCCATTCCGAACAATAATTGTGTCCTACTCTATGTCTTCGCGCATGCGCGGGAGTAGTAGTCGCGCATGCGCGAAGACTTTAATTTGATATAAAATAAGATATTAATATAAAATTAATATAAGGATTTAATATAAAATATCTTAATTTAATCTAAACAAACATTATATTTCTAAATAAAATGTAATAATAATAATAATTTTATGGAATTCACAAATCTTCAATTTACGCAATATTTAGTTTGTAGGGATTGCACTACAGTTCAGTTGAACATAGTTAATGTTCGGAATGGCTTCTCTAGTACGTAGTACATATAACTCAATGGTTGTAGAACATTATTTAAATGATAATGCCAAATAGTTAAGTAACATTCGTATTTAGGTAAACTTAGTCACTTAAATAGGAATTATTTTATACGAACTCATACATTTTATGGAAATACCAGTAAATTACTATATCCTTTTTGTGTTGAAATAAATATCTTATTAGAATATATTTTAAAATAACAAAAATAAAATTTACTTATAACAGAAAACCGTACAATTTTTAAGGCCTTACTAAAAGTAACAAATCAAACTGTGATATATTTTATTAATATATCCACTACTCAATAAAAAAAAAGTATACAAAAATGCATTAAAATGTAATTATACATTGTACAATAATATCAAATAAGGAATTGCTTATTATAACAATATAAACAACCTGTATCTACGATATCATAATAATTATCAATAGATTTGTAATGCACGATTATGTATGACGATCGTGCATCATATAAGCTAACATATAAAATCACAATAATATCGTTATCTAAAACCTCATTTAATGTCTACGTACATACAATGAACGCGCAAGTACAGTAAAGATTCTCTACTAATCTACAACCTTAAGCCAAATACACAAGGTACGAAATCGTTCGCACGAACGTTATACTTTACCGTAAACTACACGGCTCATTGTAAATAGAAGCTAGAGTTAAAATTACCTTTTGGTTAGAATGTCACACGTAAATGTCGCGTGGTGTAATGCTTTTGTTGCTGAAATTAAAAAAAAAAACAACATTTATATTTTCATTTATAAAATTAATGACTCGTCCAAAAACTTATATTTCTTAATTATATATGTCGCAGCCAATTAGTTTAATTAGCCTTTCAGTCAACAGCCCAGCCTTTTTACTAAACGGAGTCGTTCAATTAAACCATCCCGTTGAATTAAATTAATATGGTGACCATGCCACGTAAAGTCTGAGCCCAATTACGCGTTATGTGCTATATTATATATATATATATATATATATATATATATATATATATATATATATATATATATATATATATATATACGTCGCTTGAATAGAATAGAATAGAATAGATATATTTTTTTATTCAATATAGATTTCATGTGTAATTCTTATTGAAAGTCATTTTTTACTTTACCACTGATTCGAAAAAAACCCTCTGTCCTGGGAAGAACCAGCAAGAAACCCAGCGGGACTTTTTTTAAATAAATTTTCCAATATAAATATTTATATAAGATGATATTACAAGAAAGGTGCAATGTTGTAAATGACACATCGGCTGAATATCACTCAGACCCCTAGTTGGAACGGCGTCGTTTAGTAAAAAGGCTAGACTGTTAACTAAAAGGCTAATTAACCTACTTAACTGCGGCATATACATATATGACGAAGAAGTAGAGGACAAGAGCGGTGATGGAATTCCATATATTATTGCCATTAGAGATCGGAAACAATGGCCCGATTTGAGATAAATAATAATTAAAAATTTATAATATTTTAAATTATCGTGTAGTGACGGTGTAAGACTATCCATTACCCCGTATCGTCCGTCCATAGGTGCCGTAAGAGGCGACAGAAGGAAGCTAAAACAGGAGATGGGCAGCAGTGTCTTCTCGATAACAACTCAAAATAATAAAAAACTGCGGTTGCCAACCCGCCTGCCAAGCCTGGCAACTATGACAAGATCTCCCTATGAGGCTATCTATGGGGGAGGTTTATGTTTAGCAGTGGACTTTTCCAGGCTGTAATGGATGGATGTATAGAAAATAATCTACCAGGAACACATGACTCGCTGAGAGGTAAAATTATTAAGTCAACAGTAACATTACAACTATAGCAAATATCACCCTATGAGGTAATCTATGGGGGAGGCCTATGTTCAGCAGTAGAGTGGACGTTTCATATGACGGAATATTTTAAATATTGCTTAGTTAGAAGAAGTGTGAGAAAAACTACTCTGTGTAAAAGAGAACATTTAAGAACCTTGCAAGTTAAAGAGAAAAAGTTATGAGTAGTTAAGGGATAAACAAAAAGAAATTTTGCAAATCTGTATTTGTTATAAATGTGTAAGAGAAATAAGGCAGTAGTTAATATAAAAGGATCTATCCCACACTCTGATCATATATGAGTTAGATACAATCAAAAATAATTTTTAGCATCCTTAACATAAAGTGTGATAACTGTCACTGAGTCATCATCGTCATCATTACAGCCCTTCACAAGTCCACTGCTGAACATAGGCCTCCCCAAGGCATGCCACAAAGCGCTATCCTGAGCCACCTGCATCCATCGACCTCCAGCATGTCTTACCAGGTGGTCACTCCATCTAGTGGCGGTTCGCTCTACATTTCGCCTACCAGTACGAGTCTGCCACTCGAGAACCTTTCGTCCTTTTTTATAGGATAAGGGTGACAAACGACACACAGTCCACTTGATAGTAAGTGGTTGCTGTGGCCCATAGACATCTACATCTATCCTCGTTTGCGAATCAAAATGCAGATGCGTTGTCACCCGTAAGAACTAAGATGGAATGCCTCGGTTCCAGTAAAAAGGGTCTCCGGTTCTCTACACTCACCATACGAAACTCAGCAGCGTTAAGCTGCTATTTTACGCTGGTATTCTGTGAGAACGTGGTCTTTCCCCGGTCGAGCAGACTCATTCTTGCTACAACTATACTAATGATATAGCTGCAGCATGGCTCTACCACGTATACCCTGTGTACCGATTCAAAATTATATATTTTTAATGTGTCTTTTTGTGTGTTGGATCTTTTTATTTAACTTCAAAATTTAAAATTACATGTTATTAATAGACAATGAATCAAAGCGATAAATATAATTTAAAAAAAAAGAAATTGTTAAGCATACCAAATAATTAAAAGCCCTAGTAACTAGTAAACAAGCGGCTACACGTCAGTTGTGTACCTGTAATAATGATTACAGAGTTAGATCAAGCCCGAGTCTCTGTAATTCAAAGCACGGCAAAGTAAAGAGAACAGTGATAAACGAAGAAAAGCATAACAAAAACGAAATGCATGTAGGTTACAAACAACACTTAGAAAAACGATTCCTTCATTTTATAAAGTTAAAGAAGGATAAATAGATACGTGCTGATCGTTGCTGTCATTATTAGAGCTGAGTCTTTGTAATACGCATCGTAAATAATTTAAGCATTGAACGTAAACTAAATATAACGTAAATACTTATTTTTAATCAAAATTAATTAAAAGCAATCACTTTAAAAATTATATACATCGTGTATTGACGGTGTAAGTATATCCACTGCCCTATTTCATCTCGTGGGTGTGGTAAAAAGCGACAGAGGGAAAAAATCAGGAGATGCGCAACAGTGGCTTCCTAATAACTACTAAAAATAAAAAAACTGCGGTTGCCAACCTGCTTGCCAAGCTTGGCAACTATGGTAATTGTCCCCCCCTATAGGGGCAATCTATGAGGGAGTGATATGTTCAGCAGTTTACTTTAATAGACTGTAATGGTAATCAGTTCAAAAATCAATGAAATTCAGTGTAATTGATATAATTGACAAAAAACGTTTTTTACAACTGACTTAAATATAAAATATTGAAGTCGGTTGTACAACATTTTTAATTATATTATTAAGGATAACTCAAAAACTGTCGGTTAGATCTTGATCTATATGGAACCACATGAGAAGCACCAGCTTTCAAATAAAAAAAGAACCATCGAAATCGGATCACATAGAAAAAAGTTATTGCCTCATAACACACATTAAAAAAACAAAATCGAATTGAGAACCTCCTCCTTTTTGAAGTTGGTTGAAAAGAGAGGGAATATATATTATATAAAAACAATATAATTTTTTTTAACATAATTATTTGTACCTATGATTACAAAAACTCAGCTACATGGTTTCTGCTATTTCGTTATTAATAGTGTATAATAAATGTGCATTATCCGTGTCTTTTTCTAATGATTCATTTACCTCTCTCTTGCAGCGACCACGTCCTCGTCCGAGTCCATATCGTAAAGATCGTCTCGCACGTAATTTTTGTTGGCGAAGCCTCCCATATCCACTGAAATAAGTAAGTCAGTTTATTACTTCTTGTAACCCATTAATATTATTTTTTTGGGTTTTGCGTGTATAAACATACTGGCCGAGAAGAAAACTGCACGCTAAAGAAAACACGTAAATAAAATAAATAATTTAAAAAAATTCAAAAAGCCGACTGCAAAAAAGACAACTTAATAAAATGCACTAAGAAAACCAAAACAAGATTGAGAATAGAAAACAAAATTAAAATAATCGGTCCGTGGGGTCCACGTGCGGTGAAGTTCCTAAAGGAACTCCATCCGCGGCTGGTCGTTGCTGCTGGTGATATGAGGGCTGGTTCTTTCCTCGCTCAAAGGCTAAGTATAGCCATTCAGCGGGGAAACGCAGCCAGCGTTCTTGGCACGATACCGCGGGGAATAGAACTGTATGATAATTTATTTACTAGTTTTAGTGTTTTAAATATTGTGTAAAATATTGTATGTTATGTTATATAAATAAATGTATTGAAAATTTTCATAAAAAAAAATAAAAAATAAAATAAACTACAAACAAAGTAAACTACTTCGGTACAACAGAGTATATTATGAGCTGAAAGTCTAAATTAAATACCTACCGCTTTAAATTTAGTAGCAAGCGGAACCCATTAATTTTATTTCGGCTTTTAGTTTGCAAACCGAAAGAAATTTATAATTATTCTAAATTTTATATGATAGCGCGAGTTCCGACAAAAAATATGGCCCCATTTCTACGCTATCAAAAACTTTTTAAACCAATTTATTATTCCTAGTAAACCCCTTTTAATTTCCTTTATTTTAATACCCTGCTCGATAGGTTTGATTTTTTTTTATTAACGTATTACTGTTTCGCGCCAAAAATCTGCCATTTTATTGTTTTTTTTTTCAAACAGCTATCTAAGAACACTTGGAATTTTAAGAAGAATATAACAATACGTTATCTGTCGAAATCCATCCAGCCGTTTGGAAGATACGAGGTAACAAAATTTACAAAAAAATATACATACATACGCGAAAAACATAACCCTTCTTTGGCAGTCGGCTAAAAAGGGAAATGAAGAAAAACAAAAAAGGAACGACTGACGCTATCGGTTGCGTCCACACCCACATATTTCTTTTAATGTCGTTTAAATATAACAACGTCAATACTAACACATCCAGAATTTGTAAAAAACACCCTGTTTTTTTAAAGTTTTTATATAGGAGAAAAAATCAACGATATATTGGCCACAGCATACCCTACATATGTACTCGTACACTAGACATTATATGTCAGAGTAATTTTAATAATATTCAGGCAAAACTTTTGATCATATGTTTTACATTATAAAAGGCGATTTATACCTTATAGCAAGCATTTCAATCACATTTAATTATTGCATCCTCACCTCTAGTAGAGTCGTCGTACTTTGCGTCGACCCACTTGTATTCGTTCTCAGAGTAGAGTGGTGGTAGCATTTGGTGAGGTGTGGGGTACAGGTCCAAGTTGCGTTTCTCTTGCAGACTGTCTGTGTCACTGAACGGTGGCATTCTGGAATGTTACAGTGAAAATTAAAAATGAGAAGTATTCGATATTAAAGGATAATATACTGTACATACAAAACATTTTAGGACTCTTGGAACGTGAGTCTTAGATAATATTATGATATAGTCATGTAACGTGGTTGAGCCATGCTGCAGCTATATTAATAGTGTTGTAGCACGAATGGGTCGGCTCGACTGGGGAAGGAGCACGCTCTCACAGAATACCAGCGTAAAATAGCAGCTTAACACTCCTCTGTTTCGTATGGTGAGAGTGTGGAGAACCTCCGCTTTTTACTCAAAAAGAGGCATTCCATCTAAGTCTTCACGGGTGACAACGCATCTGCATTCTAATTCTCTATTGAGGATAAGATGTAGATGTCTATGGATCACAGCAACCTATCCTATAAAAAAAAGCAAAATGTTCAATGCATCTCAAGCACCACTGATAACATCATTGTGCTCTGTATGCCGGCGTAGGAATCCCATTTCATCCCGTGATTCTCGTAAGAAGAGACAGAGACAAAATGAAAAAAGAGATGGAAAGCAGCATTCTTAATAACAACTGAACTTAAAAAGAAATACGATTGCAAACCCGCCAAACAACTATGGCAAAATGGTCCCTATGACCAATCTGTGGGGGAGGCCTATGTTCAGCAAAGGATTTTTAAACATAAAATGAAAAACATCATAAGGAATGCTGCACGTCTGAAAAATATACAATATTTCAAAGGCTTGTGACGTTCAATATCCTGCAGCTTCTCTCTCGCTCCTCGAACTTTTTTAGAAACTAGTCAATGTCACCGCTCGTTAAAGGCTACTATTCTATGACAAAGAAAGGATTCATTTGAGTCGACCAATCAACTGATAAGAACGAAAGAAGAAAGAAAGAAAATAAGTTTATTTAGTAACACATTTTAGAAATTTGTTTACAATAATAACACATTATGATAAATGGTTACTAAAGAGGTACACAACACAGCCTAGTCTTGGTACTAACAAAGTACTTCGACACTGATCTTCCGCTGGTGCTAATAAAATTTAACAAAAACAGAACTTAACAATATTCATTACTAGCTGTTCCCCGCGACTTCGCCCGCGCGTAATTTATTACAATTGCATTTCATGGGTTTTAATTTTTTTACGCGGAAACCTAATTCCTTTTCTAAAATAAAAGTAGCCTAAGTTACTTCTTATAACATTAGCTATCTGGCAGTGAAAGTCCGGTCAAAATCAGTCCAACCGTTTCAGAGATTAGCCGGAACAAACAGACAGACAGACAGAAAGACAGACAAAAATTTTGAAAATCGTGTTTTTGTTATAAGTACCGTTTATATGCATATAGTAAAAAGTTATTATTTCGACATTACAAACAGACACTTCTATTTTATTTATTTGTATAGATTATACAATTTTAAATCAATATGCAAATATAGTATATTTATATGCACATAGTCACAAATATCTTCCTGTTTTGATATCAATGTTCTCTAGGATAGATCATACCTTGTGTAGTTCTCGAAGCAACTGAACCGCCACAGAGCGAAAGCCAGCATGGCCATGGAGATGACCACGCCTGCAGCAATCACAAGCCACACCATCATCACGTCCTTGTCGTTGGGTGCCTGGTATTCCTATGAAAAGGAGAATTAGGTTTCTATTAGTGGCCGACCGAAGCTTCGGCCATCTTCGGCCACCTACGGACAAAAAAAACTTCGGCAAAGATTTCGCAAATTTTCATTCTGTAAATACTAGGAACAGACACAAGCTAGTAGTACCAGTTACTCGACTCCACCGAGTCAGTAATCCATTCTTGGGGCGATGTATACGCTTTTATAACAAAATCCCAAAAAAATATACAAAATTTAACCTGCTCAAAGTTCAATAACTTTAATAAACAAAGTTTGTATAAAATGGGTTATTATAATATTAAGGAATTTATGGATGATAATAACCCCTGGGAACGAGGTGATCGCTACCAAGCTATTTCTATTTTGTTTTGTGTGGTTAATTGTGATTATATGATTGTAATCTGTTTTTTTTTTTAAAAGTCCCGCTGGGTTTCTTGCTGGTTCTTCCCAGGACAGAGGTTTACCCGAACCAGTGGTAATTAAACAAAAGAGTGACTTTCAATAAGTATTATTTATAATCTATATCGAATAAAAAGTTTCTGTTTCTGTTTGACCGAAATCGAAGGTTTCTAGCAAGCGGCGAAATTGAACGAATTGTTAGAAATGAGCGAAAGCGATAATCTATCTTTTATGACCCTGTCCAATAAGTTTAGCACTTTAGTCATAAATTCCATTTATTTTAATTATTTCTATAGTATTTACCATATTACTTCGTAATATTGGGCATTGTGAAACTGTCGGGACATTATGAATTATGCCCTATTAATCACATGGTCCGCAACAGATATAAATAAAAGTTGTATGAAAACTAACCGTAATGCCCAACCTCCTCAGCCTTGAAGCGAATGGATCTTGATCGAAGTAAGTCACCCACATGGAGTTAAGGTCGTCAACGTCCAGCCTCGGGTCTTGGTCGCCATCGTATTCTAGCGCGACTCCAAATTTCACTTCGACGCAATTTTCAAACTTAGGCCAGTTGTGGAAGCACAGAGCTCTGCTGACGATCTGTGTGACTTCTAACCTATAATTAAAATATTTGGAAAATTAAATATATATATATATATATATATATATATATATATATATATATATATATATATATATATATATATAGGCACATATACTAATCTGTCTGAAATTTATAGGACTAGTACAGACACAAACAATGTTAAAACAGTAATTTAAACAAACAAGTCGATGGATGCAGCTGGCTCAGGATCGTGCTTTGTGGCATTCCTTTGGGGAGGCCTATGTTCAGCAGTGGACTTGTGATGATGATGATAGCCAGACATAATCTAATAACTTTGATGATGCCTTGTTTAGAGGCGAAACATGTGTATTGTCGACGGTGTTGTGACTTTCTTAATGTAGTGGTATTGGGATATAGGTGAGTGGTTTTGACTGCATCGTGGGTCTAGTGGTTGTATTAGTGCGACTACTGATCACGAGGTCCCGGGTTCAAATCCCGGGTCGGGCCAAAAAAATCAGTTATTGAACTTGTCCATCAGAAAATTATCAGTACCTGCCCAGAGTCATGTAGTTGGCGGTGTCTCACTCCCATACCTAGGAAAGCACGAAAAGCCGTTGCTCCTGCACCTGATTTCTCTCCGGTCATGTCGGTTTACTGTCCCATCGTGCTATGAGAGTGAGGCAATAGAGAGTGCACCTTTGTTTGCTCATACACTCGGGCACTATAATCCTGTCCCGCGCCGATGGCTAGTTCCGTTGAGGTTGGCCGCCGTGACCGTAATCCGGTCTGGAGGACATTCTCTTTAAATTACTTAAGACACATCCTATTTATTTTATACGCGGCTCTCAGCTTATTAATTTTACCACCTTTAAACTTAATTTGAACTTAATTTTAACACATTTTTTAAAAGGTAGAGCCAGGCTGTAGCCATGTTGTGGTTGCAGCACGAATGGTCTTGGCTCGACCGGGGTAGGGCCAAGCTCTCACAGAATACCATCATTAAATAGTAGCTTAATGCTGCTGTGTTTCGTATGGTGAGTGTAGAGAACCGGAGACCCTTTTTACTGGAAACGTGGCATTCCATCTCAATCCCCACGGGTGACAACGCATCTGCATTTTGATTATTAATCAGAGATAGATGTGCGATGGGCTACGGTATCCACTTACCATCAGGTGGACTGTGTGCTCGTATGTAAACCTTATTCTTTAAAAAAAAATACACAGTTAAGCTTATAAAAGCCGGTAAAAAGGGCTTTACAATTTACGTCATCGTTGAAGACAACCTAACTATGATAAAAACATATTTTCTTGTGCACAGACTATTTCCGACGCAATTTATTACACGGGAAAAGATGGCGACGCAGTTCCGATAACCGCTCGGAATCTGAACAGCTACGTGGTACCAACTGGCACGTTGCCAAACGAGATACCGTCTGCGAACTTACATAACTAACTGTCCAAAACGATTACATATACAGACATAAGATTTTTTCCCTAGTTTAGCGACTTGTGGTTTTATACGTGGTAGAGCCATGCTGCAGCTTGTTAGTACATATATTAGTAGTATAGTTGTAGCACGGCTCGACCGGGGAAGGACCACGCTCTCACAGAATACCAGCGTAAAATAGCAGCTTAACACTGCTGCTGTGTTTCGTATGGTGAGTGTGGAGAATAGGAGACCCTTATTACTGGAAACGAGGCATTCCATCTTAGTCCTCACGGGTGACAACGCATCTGCATTTTGATTCGTAACCGAGGATAGATGAAGATGTCTATGGGCCACAGCAACCACTTACCATCAGGTGGATTGTGTGCTCGTTTGTCACCCTTATTCTATAAAAAAAAAAAACTACCAAAGGATTCTGCCAGCGTCAAGTATTTCATGAAAGTCACACAGTGTATTACACAATGAAATTTCCGTTTCCGTAGATAGGTTTACTTTATTCTATGTAACGATCTTAAAAGCTATTGGAACGAAGTTCCTTATACGAATTTGGCGGATGGGGGCTAGACGAGAAAAAGTGTAAGATTTTTTCGTCACGACCCTTTCTGATGTAGTGTAGGCGGCCTTGGCAGCTATAAGAAAGCGAGATAGAATAATAATATCCATCTCCCTCGCACTTTTTCTTATCTTATTTTATTTTAATGACGCTTCATTTTAATACTCGTAGATGCTAGTAATTCATTTATTTGTATGAATTGTTAATCAATAATGTAATAAGATAATCAATAATAATATACTACGAAATGATCTTCGTTCCAACCGAGTGTTCCACTCACGCATATTTTTTATTTTTGGTTGATTATATATAAGCAATTTTTCTTCGTACAAATTTATCCTATAATTTTTTTTTATCGACACTTATTATTTTTTATATCATGTGCATCGAGCAACTAGCAGCCACACAATAACTGTCAGCTAGGTCCATTTAAATTCTTTTTACTCGACTGTGCGACTCAAAGTTTTAATTACTCTCCTTTGCTGCGCTGCCCCAATACGTGTCGGCGGACTTCACATAATATTACGTTCACCGTCATCATTATAGCCTTTACAAATCCACTGTTGTATATAGGCCTCCCCCAAGGATGTAAATCACGGTCCTGAGCGACCTGCGTCCATGGACTTTTTTATAGGATAGGGTGACAAACGAGCACACAGTCCACCTGATGGTAAGTGGCTGCTGCGACCTATAGACATCTACATCTATCCTCATTATAGAATCAAAATGCAGATGCGTTGTCACCCGTGAGGACTAAGATAGGATGCCTCTTTTCCAGTAAAAAGGGTCTCCGGTTCTCTACACTCACCATACGAAACACAGCAGCATGAAGCTGCTATTTGACGCTGGTATTCTGTGAGAGCGTGGTCATTCCCCGGTCGAGCCGAGCCATTCGTGCTACAACTATACTACTAATAGCTGCAGCATGGCTCTACCACGTGTAAACTGTTATAGTTTATAGAGCAGTCTCACCATATCAATACATAAAATACGATGGTGGTCTATTCACTGCGGACGAAGCGAGGTCTCTCTACAAAAGCGACGTATAATCAGCGACCTTGGAAAACAGCGCGTGAAGTTATAAATATACTGGACGTATCAGTCGCTGGTATCTCCGCCGCATCCCACAACTTTGATGTGTTTACAAAACATTTATTACCCCGATAAATTTATTTATGGGATATAATCAATTTAATATGAAATTTATATGTGGGTAGGAGCCGTGCTGCAGCTATATTATGATTGTAACACGAATCCATCGGCATAACCGAAGAAGGACTCACAGAATACCAGCGTAAAATAGCAGTTTAATGCTGTTGTTTCGTATGGTGTGAGTGTAGAGAAGTGGACTCTTTTCTACCGACTTCAAAAAAGAGACTGTACTCAATTGGACTTTATGTTTTTTTAATGTGTTTTCGATGATTCTTTTTTTATTTGAAAGCTGGTGCTTCACATGTGGTGCCATATAAATTTGATCAAGGTCTAACCAATAGTTTTTGAGTTATTCTTAATAATTAATATTGAAGTCGGTTGTACAAAATGTTTAATTTTTAATTATTATTGGATACTAGGCATTCCATCTTAGTCCTCAAGGCTAACAACGCCACAGTATTCACTTATAATTAGGTGGATTGTGTGCTCTTTTGTCAACCTTATTCTATAAAAACAAATCAATGCCTACAGATCTAATTTCCCAAAATAATTCCATAAAAGTAAACGTAGTATATACCATGCCCTAGATGGAGTGATGACCTGGTAAGAAATGGAGGAAGTTTACACATGGTAGAGCCATGCTGCAGCTATATTAGTAGAATAGTTGTAGCACGAACGGGTCGACTCGACTAGGGAAGGACCACGCTCTCACAGAATACCAGCGTAAAATAGCAGCTTAACACTGTTGTTTCGTATGGTGAGTGTAGAGAACCGCAGGCACTTTTTACTGGAAACGAGGCATTCCATCTTAGTCCTCACGGGTGACGACGCATCTGCATTTTGATTTTATAATGAGGATAGATGTAGATGTCTATAGGTCGCAGCAGCCACTTACCATCACTTACTATCCTATAAAAAAGTCGATGGATGCAGGTCGCTCAGGACCGTGATTTACATCCTTGGGGGAGGCCTGTGTACAACAGTGGATTTGTAAAGGCTATAATGATGACGGTGAACGTAATATTATGTGAAGTCCGCCAACACGTATTGGGGCAGCCCAGCAAAGGAGGGTAATTAAAACTTTGAGTCGCGCAGTCGAGTAAAAATAATTTAAATGGACCTACCTGACAGTTATTGTGTGGCTGCTAGTTGCTCGGTGCACATGATATAAAAAATACTAAAAGTGTTAATTAAAAAAAAATTATAGGATAAATTTGTACGAAGAAAAATTGCTTATATTCTTCTTACAAACTATTTTGATTATTTATATGACAAAAAGATACTTGCGCAGTTTCTTCGCCCAGTCATCTCCTATCGTAGAAACCTCATTTCGAAACGGTAGTAGTAAATTCAGTGGATCTCAAGTGATAAAATTAAAAATTTTGTGCAACCGTCTTCAATAGGCCAGGCCTTGATCAAACTTATAAGAAGCACCAATATAAAAGTACCTCCTCTTTTTTGACGTCCGTTAAAAAAGACATTTGACAAACGAAATGTTATTGGAACGAAGTGCCTTATTAATATAAGAATTTGACGGATGGGGGCAAGGCGAGAAAAAGTGTAAGATTTTTCCGACACGACCCCTTTCCATAGTGCGAGCGAGACGGAATAATATCCATCTCCCTCGCACTTTTTTATCTTGCCATTGAAGAAATATTATTTTAAATGACGCATCATTTTAATAGACGCTAGTAATTCATTTATTTGTATCAAATCAATAATATAATACGTTTATCAATAATAATATACTACGAAAGGAACTAACTTTAACTTTTTTCTTACGTTTAAGAAATATTCCATTTCATTTCATTACAATGGCGAGGAAACGGTTTACGTTTTAAAAACCCATGTTTATGCAGTGATGCAATATTTGTTTTCTCAATAACTGGGTACAGCGCTTTAGCAACACTTGACTATTTTGCATTTTAACGTGGTAGAGCTATGTTATGGCTGCAGCAAGAACGGCTCAGAGCGGAATTATGACTCAGATCGCTATATATAGAACCGAGGATCGCTATGTACACGCTCGACTGGGAAGGACTACGTTCTCACAGAATACCGGAGTGAAGTAATAGCTTAATGCTGTGTTTTGCATGGTGAATGTAGAGAATGTGAGACCCTATTAACTGGTGACGAGGCATTCTAGCTTTGTTAGTCCTCAGAGGTAACACCGCATTCACATTTGAATAGATCAAGCCAAGAAGAATACGGATAAATACAGGTCATAAAAAAGTTATCATTTTTTGCTTATTAGCTAATAAGCATTTGGTGAGCGCAGAAGAACAGGAGACCGTTTTTACTGAAAACGAGGTGATCCATCTTAGTTCTCAGGGGTGACAACGAATCTGCTTTTTGATTCTTTATTGAAGATAGATGTAGATATCTATGGGTCACAGCAAACACTTACCATCAGGTGGACTGTGCTCATTGGTCACCTTTATTTTATAAAAAGCGCGTGTGTTTAGAACTAGCAACCCCTAACGGCAAATTGATAGAACTTCATCATCATCATCATCATTGCAGCCCTTCACAAGTCCACTGCTGAACATAGGCCTCCCCCAAATAATGCCACAAAGCACGGTCCTGAGCCACCTGCATCCATCGCCTTCCTGCATATCTTACCAGGTCGTCACTCCATCTAGTGGGGGGACGCCCTACACTTCGCCTGCCGGTACGAGGCTGCCACTCGAGAACCTTTCTTCCCCATCGGTTGTCGGTTCTTCGAGCTATATGGCCGGCCCATTGCCACTTCAGCTTACTAATCCGTTGGGCTATGTCGGTCACTCTGGTTCTACTGCGGATATCCTCATTTCTGAGTTTATCACGCAGAGAAACTCCGAGCATAGCCCTCTCCATAGCTCGCTGAGCGACCTTGAGCTTCCTCATCCGGCCAGCAGTGAAGGACCACGTCTCAGTTCCGTATGTCATCACTGGCAACACGCTAGATATAACTTAATGATTAATAAACTTACCAAAATCTTCATAGCATTTTCTTCTTATATATTATTTTCTACATTAACATTTTTATATTTTTCTACTTGAGACGGATTCTGTCGTAAACATACATCTATTTTCTTATACTTCTTATAAATATTCTTCAACTTCATGTTAAACATTTTTATAATCTTAAACCATACTTTATTTGAATCAGGTTTCTTTAACTCTTTGTTAAAATTTGTAATACCATTACGTAAAACAAATGCAGTCTTGTTGAACATATTTACAAATTTTCTATGCGATATGTTTGATTTACTCAATCAGGCCTCAATCGGTACCAAATCTACTTATTTGGCAATGCAATTAAAAGAAAAAAATAATCAAATCTCATACAAGCTTTTCTTCAGCGAATTTCACAGGCTTCTTCGACGCCTCTTCAATCGGTGCCTTATAATTAGCTTTAGTAATACATTCGTTATTATTAGCATTGTCTTTCACCTCCTTAATGATTTTAGTTACTTTATATGTTGACTGTGTGTCGTTATTATTGTCCAGCTTTGCTTCAGGTACATTCAGGTCAGATTTCTTCACGGATACTGTTTTACGTAACATGTTTTCTTTACAACTATTGTTCTGTATTTGTGGGTAATGATGCAGTATTGCGGTTGTGTTAAAGGTTATTTTGCCGTATTTAACGAATTCTATTGGTTTCTTACTTCTGTCTTGACTTGAACCAGGGCAAGCATTAAATTCATCATATTTTGGCATTTCTTTTAATCTAACTTTATTACCAACAGGGCTTAATGCACCGCTTTCAATTATATCTTTGGTATCTTCTATCAAATCTAATGCAATTTGTTTACTTAGTTTTATATTTTCCATATAAGCATTATACTTGTTCATATCTACAGTGTTACTTTGTTTAAGTGGCAGCGAATTTGGCAATTTCTTCTGAGGTTTCTCCTCAACCGTATATCACAATTGTATCTGATCTGTTTGGCTTTTCTTAATCGTTGTATCAGACTTAGCCGCCGCGTTATCACGGGCGGCATTTATTAGCTATGTTTGGGACTGCACCATAGATATACTGGTCGTCTCGGTGGCGATTGTCGTTGCGTGGAATTCGTCTCCAGTGGAATCATAGATAGGGAATTCACAGCACAGTACGAACTTCAAGAACCTCGGCACCTCAACGTAAATGGCCGGCGGTATCGGTATCAGAGGTGACGTAGACGACTTATAATACAAATAATCTGGATTATCTTTATATTTCTCGTCCGCCGATCGTTCCAGCAACGGAATCCCAGATAAAAACAATATTATTGACATGGTGAATAACGGCGATAATATTGCAATATATTCTATACCTTCGATTACGTTCAGTGATATAATAAAAATGCCCCACCATAGCACAACTTCGCCGAAATAATTGGGATGCCTCGATAGACCCCAGAGTCCATCATTGCACCATTTTCCTTGATTAGCAGGTTCCTGTCTAAACGCAAACTTTTGGAGATCCGCGTAGGTTTCTATGAGTAATCCTATCACGAAAATACCGGCACCAGCCGAGTCCAGCGTTGTCATTGTCTTCGGTGCTTTCGGAAAGGAGTGATGAGGGGAGTTTATTATGATAACTGGTAGGCTGACCACGTAAACCCACACAGCTTGGAACGTATAAAAGACTGCGAACCTCAATGTGTTGCTTTTGCGATCTTCAAACTGTTTGTCCCTACCAATGTGGTATATTCTATATATTAAATATCCAGAGAGTCTCACGCCCCACAAGCAGACAAACGCTGTGGCCATCAGCTGTCTGCTGTCATAATTTTTAAGATGACTCCCGCCTTGACCCAGAAAGAAGGTAAGCAACGCTATTATAATAAAATTGGCACCACCAGTGAAATCCGTCACCTTGTCAGTTTGAAAGAGCGAGGCTATGGTGAAAAAGAGTATTTGCATAGCAACAGTGACCATAGCGCTTATGGCGAAGTTGTTCCTATCTATTAATGGCTCCATGTTTGGATAAATTTGACACTGAATCAACTATTTGGCATCAGGAAATACTGTTTGTATCGTCACACTCATGCCGCATTGCCGCATGTATTTTTCCGCGCGCGTTTCTGTCACATTTTGTTTCTTCTTTGCACTCTTTACTTATTATAAACTCATTTACATAGCTAACAACATTTTTGTATGTAAGAATTTAAAACTGTTTAATTTATCGGATCGGTCGTGTTGTGTTAAAAGCATAACGTACTGAGCTTGGTTCGCAGTGAAGCGTTCTACTTTTGCTAAAATAGATTTGACGTTTCGGTTTGCGCATGCGTGAACTTTCCGACGCGCATGCGTAAATATCACGCGGTAGAGACACGCTGCAGCAATATTATGATTGTAGCACGAATGGGTCGGCTCGAACGGGAAAGACCACGCTCTCACAAACATCTTAATCCTCAACGGTGAATGATGTAGATAATTTTGAACCACAGCATCCATTTAGCATCAGGTGTACTGCTCGTTTTTCATCTTTTAAATTAAAAAAATATGAAATAAAATGTTCGTGCAAATTAAAAAAATGTACACGTATACCTACTTCTTAAATTGAAATTAATTTTTATTTAAATTAATATAATATACATATTTTTATAATACTGACAATAAAAATTACCTTTATAAAAAGATTTAGAATTTCAATTCAAACGTAGTGATTATATTACAGTCTTGGATTTCAATCATGAATAATTAATTTCGGTAATGTTTTATGATGCATATATATTTTTTCTTTTAGTTAAAAGAATAATAGCTTGCTTTTTTTAAAGGATAGGGTGACAAACGAGCACACAGTCTACCTGATGGTAAGTGGTCGCTGTGACACATAGACATCTACATCTGTCCTCTATTACAAATCAAAATGCAGATGCGTTGTCACCCGTGAGGACTAAGATGTAATGCCTCTTTTCCAGTAAAAAGGGTCTCCGGTTCTCTACACTCACCATACGAAACAGCAGCAGTGTTAAACTGCTATTTTACGCTGGTATTCTGCGAGAGCGTGGTCCTTCCCCGGTCGAGCCGACCCATTCGTGCTACAACTATACTATTAATATAGCTGCAGCATGGCTCTACCACGTTCAAAACTTGCTCTCACTCTTTTCTATTACAAAATATTCACAAATGTCATGTTTTATCCACAGACGATTAAACTTCTAAGCTGGCATTGTATGAAAATTATACCGGAGTATTTTTTTTTTATAAAATAAAACAAAGGTGCACTAAGCTGGCAGTAAAGCAATTATGTCAACTGATAAAAAGGTTTAAGTAATTAGGTGGGGGTAATTTAGGTAAGCTGTGGTAGCTCACGTACACGAGAAAGCCGTACTGTCCGTTGGTTTGTGTTTACCCGACTGCTCTAGGAGGGTAATGTTTTTCAAGAGTACGTATGTCTATTTCTTTGGCACTCTCTGTAGCCTGAACGGTTTGATGAATTTTAACATAGGGGATATCGTCAAATTCGCCTTAATTGTGGGAGTGACATAGAGTATAAAAATATATTTTTAGTAAACTTTTTAAGCAGTCAGGTTTTTTAACCGACTTCAAAAAGGAGGAGGTAGTCGATTCGACTGTATATTTTTTTTAAGTGTGTTAGCTCATAACTTTTTTTCTAGGTGAACCGATTTTGATGATTCTTTTTTAATTTAAAAGCTGGTGCTTCTCCTGTGTTCCCGTATAAATTGATCAAGGTCTGGCCAGTAGTTTTTGAATTATTATTAATAATTTATATTGAAATCGGTTGTACAATTTTTTTTTAATTTTGCCAGTTGTTAAGTATGGTATTAACCAATGGACTTGCTTATAATTTTCACGCCGGTGAAGGAAAACATCATGAGGAAATCGGCTTGTATTAGAAATAAAATGTAGTTTTCAAAGACATATGAAGTCCGCCCTGTATTAGAGCCGTGCTTCGGACTAATTACTCTGGTAATTAAACATATGACTTCCAATATGCATTGCTTATAAACTTATATTGAGTAAAAAAGTTTCTGTTTCTATTACAGGTAACAGTCTAACGGTATGCCGTCTTTCATATTTGATCAGTAAAACTTTATTTTGCAAGGCAACTGGTCTTCTTACTTATACTTTCTTCATCCACCAGTACATACACACACCTACATCATACGTATAACAACACTCTTACACTCACATTCACACACTCCTTAATATACAGATACTAATTACAAATTTTCTAGAGGTTAAACTTTTTGTAATCTTACTTTTTTGTAATCCTCAAGGGAAGTAGCGGGTCGTTCCCAACACGAGTATCCTCTGATTAGTCACTGGGAAGTCTCAGTATAAATTTGTTAACAAGATTACCGAAATAAACGTATTATTTATTATTATTAATTATTTCTACTCCGTTATCAACAAGTCCACTGTTCAACATAGGTCTCCCCCAAGAAATGCCTCAGAAGACGGTATACTGAGTCACCTGCATCCATTGACTTCCCTTAAGTCGCCCTATTTAGTTAATTCATCTAATTACATTAGAGTTGTTAAAAATTACTTTGCGTACATCAGCTCGATAAAATAAAATGATGTGTCTTACCTAGTTTGAAGAGCACCTCCCGCCCTCCCTCAATTGCGTGCACTATCCTCTTCACCACTAATCCCAGCACCACTACTTCCAACACTAGGAAAGCCACACCGCTAAGTCAGCCACCGCAGAGTCTACTTCACTTCGCGGATGTACGCAAGTTAATTTTTTCCAACTTTAATATAATGGATTTGCGCAAAGTAACTCCTGATTCTATTAATTATCTCCGAAACCCACTCAAAAATGAGAGGAGGTAGGAGATAAGCAGTGTTTTCTTTATAGGATAAGGGTGACTGGCGAGCACACAGTCCACCTGATGGTAACTGGTTGCTGTGGCCCATAGACATCTACATCTATCCTCGTTTACGAATCAAAATGAAGAAGCGTTGTCACCGTTGAGGACTAAAATGGAATGCCTCGTTTCCAGTAAAAAGGGTGTCCGTTTGTCTACACTCACCATACGAAACACAGTAGCATTGCGCTGCTATTTTACGCTGGTACTCTGTGAGAGCGTGGTTCTTCCCCGGTTGAGTCGATCGATTCGTCCTACAGCTATACTACTAATATAGCTGCCGCGTGGCTCTTCCACGTATTAAGCCTGAATATCTAAATTTATTCACATCAAAAGCGAAGACGTCACAGCCGTGATATCAAAAATACCACAACATTATCATATGACTTATCACTTGGATTAAGAACGTATTCAAAAGAAGTGTTTATGTCGTAAATAAGCATTAAAATAATATCTAAATGATATCACAGTTCTGAAACAAAGAACTGAAGCAACGGCTCCGTAGGGATGAACCTTTGACTGTGAAACTGCGAGACTATACAAAAACAAATAATTGTTTCAGATCTGTTTGTTTGTCCACTTGCAATTTATGTGTTTGTGTGGTGCTTGTGTAAAAATATCCACTAAACTATCGTACCGTGTAATAAATTGCGTCGAAAATAGTCTGTGCACGAGAAAATATGTTTTATATTTTCGTTACATTGTCTTAAACGATGACGTAAATTGTCCCGCCCTAGCTGAACTGTGTACATGTATGTGTGTTTAGAATATATATATATATATATATATATATATATATATATATATATATATATATATATATATATATATATATAAATATATATATTATTACGTTTATAAAAATAATTTCTAATAAAAATACTTCCTAAAATATATTTTTAACAATGCAGATGCGCAGTCCTACGACTAACAGGTTTTTTTATAAGAAATTCTAATTTACAGAAATATTAACAACCAATTTGAAGTCACAGTAGCTCAGGGACGGGGCTACAGTTAAAGAAAACCACTTAAAAGGTTTGAGTTGTGTAACAAATGTTCGTGAAAGTTCTCCTTTGTTGTTCCTTCCTAGGGCTTCATGGTGCGGCGCTTTTTAATTTTTTAACAACATAAAAATTACGTAAGCAAATCAACGGTGTAGAAGCGGTGTGAGAATACCCACCACATCAGGGGTTCTCAAAGTGTGCACCGCGGCGCCCCACACTGGTTCGAAAATCGCGTTTCGAAGGCTTTTAGGTTTTAAGTGTCGTTTTTTAAGCTTTAAATGGCTTCTGTTTAGTATTACTTTGGTCAAAAATGTCAAACGTTAGTAATTTGGCTTAAAAACTGAGGACTTATGATTTTTTTACGAAAAAAAGGTATGGAGCAGAAACGAAAAATCAGTATAACCCTGGAATCGCAATATTGCGCGTTATATACGGTATTACGGGAAATACGGCATACTTCATATTACGGGAAATACTGCACTTTTTTTTTAAATCGTCATAAATAAAAAATAAATTTTCTTATTTTTCGAATTTCTTTTAAGTGCAGAGAGATAACTGATACGGTTTATTTGATTAAAATGTGTCAGAAGAAAGGTTTATTACAACATCAAACCACCCCTCATCCGATGGTAATCAAATATATCTTTGATTCTACTGAGGTCTTCTAAGAACTAAACAAAAACCAATAATAAAATCATTAGTGTTTGCTCGTACTACTAATGTGTCGTAATCAGATCTTTTTCGAACACATTAATGAATAATGATTTTTATATTACGAGTAAAAATATTATTTATTTACGTTATGATAAGAAAGACAACAGAAATTGTAATACACGTGTTTTTTTTTTTGTATGTTCGAAAATAAATCAAATTATGTTTACAAAAATAAAAGTTATTAAAAGAAATTAAACTAACCCTAGCATAGCAACATTTCTTTGTCACTTTCATCGGAATCCGAATCCGAATTACACTCTATGTTGGTCATATCCAAAAATTCGATTTGAGTTTCCTGAATCACTATTAAGTCAAAAGTTTTACTGAATAGTGACTGCTTTATTTGGCATCCATAAGGTTTTCTTGCACTAATAGAAATATCGGGAGTTAGGATAAGCATATTAAGGATATCTTCGTTAGA